CTTGGCGGGTGTTAAGTTACCGAAAGGCAAAAATGTTGATTCATGCCAGTCAGTTATGAAAACGCAACTGCAATTGAACATGGTAGTTCTAATTCAGTTTATGAGGAAATAAGACTGTTGAGTTTCCGACTTATCTGACTTGATAAGTAGTATTTGATTTGTTGGTGAAAAGCTTCTTATTACCACTAATATTTAGTCTACCCATGTGGTTAACTTGTGATGTAGTAGCAGCTTGGTTGGGGTTAATTATGTATACATGATAAACAACAACTGCGGATGTGTGATGGAAGTAATTTCAAATTGGTCAGCCTTGTGTTTATGTTCATTGATCTATCTAAGACTGAAGAGTGCAGGTGTACATCCATGATACATCAGCCTGAAGCTGAAAGTAGAATAGATCCACGACGCCGGAATCTCACTAACTAGGAGGTATAACTAGCAGAGAATAGATCTGCGACGCCGGTATCTCGACACTGTTGTTAGAACCCTAGTTGAGAATTTGAGTGGAGGCATAGGTTTGCTTTTGCAAGAATTAAAATATTTGTAAAGCGCAAATCATATGGCCGAACCAAAGACCAATGCCGGATTAAGAGCAGGAAATAGCTAAGTCAAGGAACCATGGAACCTACCGTACATCTTTCTCAAGAAAAACACTATGGTACACCCTTGTTTTAAATTTCACTTTCAGAAATATTTCAGCACCTACCGAAATTACTGAATTTCAATGAATTGGGTATGTGGTTCAGCAAACTTTCACTTAAAATTCAAAAGAGTATTTAAAATAAAAATAAAAGTATTTGAATTCTTGTGTACAACTGAAATGACTGAAGTATTTTGAAGAAAGGTTATTTTTTTTGTGTGTCTACATGAATTCTCAGTGAAAGTGAAAACCACGGCTACACCACAGAATTCTTTCGTACACTGCAGTATGTGCTTACGCGATTTATTTGTCGGAGTAGTTTATTTTAGTTCGTGGGCTGGGCTGGGCCGTGCGTGATAACGTGTGGTTGTGGGCTGGCCTGGTTCGCGGGGGCATCTGTCTAAGTGGTCGTCGTCAACCTCTGAACAGTCCCGGGCCTTTTCGTCGGTGGTCGCCGGTCGTCGAGCTCTGCACATAAATACTCCCGTGCCTCACTCACTTCCAGCACTCCCCACTCTTCTAGGGTTCCTCCGCTCCCGCCGCCCCTACCTCCTCATCTCCTTGCTCTGTCGCTCGTCGCCACTCCCGCCGCCGGCGCCGCCCACACGAGCCAGGATTTCTTTTCCGCATCCGCACTCGCTTCCTCATCGACCCACTCCCGTCGCCGGTGCCAGATCCCCGTCCTCCCCTGGACGGATCCGGCTAGCCTCCGCCTAATCCCCTTCCGCCTCCCGTCCTTCACCCGTGAGGTGCCTCCCGACCTGCTTCCTCCGCCACATCACATCAGGTAACACCTCGACCACAGCCTGCATCTATCTCTTAATTTACACCACCAACTAACTCTTGCTTCACAATATTATCAGAGAGAGCACTCGGATCCGTGCTACATTCCTTCTCCCCCGGCCGCCTCCGGCTTGCTGCCTGCCGCGCAATCTCCGACCTGCCCGTCTCCTTCCTTCACCACATCAGGTACGATGCCCCTCGCCACCAATTAATTCTTTTTGAGCTCTTTATGACACCAACTAACCGCTGCTTCACTCTGTAGCCAAGACAGCACGCGAGATGTCCGGCGGAATCGTGACCGTGGCGAGCGGGGTGATGAACCCCCTCATCGGCAAGCTCACCGCACTCATGGGTGACGAGTACAAAAAGTTCAAAGGGGTCAGGAAGCAGGCCTCATTCCTTGAGAAGGTACTCAGCGCCATGAACGCTGCCCTTCAGAAGCTCGAGCTCATTGATGAGATCGACCCAACCGTCAAGGATTGGAGGGACCATGTTAGGGAGATGTCGTATGACATGGAGAATTGTATCGATGACTTCATCCGACAATCTCGAGCTGACGATGCCAAGGCGGGCTTCATCAAGAAGACTGCTCGGCGCATCAAGAAGTTGCGGGAGCGTCTTCGGATAGCCGACCGGATGGAAGAGCTCAAGATTCTTGCCTTGGAGGCAAACACTCGGCGCCAAAGGTATAATATTGATGATTGGAAGCCCACCACCAGCACCGTGGCCGTTGACCCTCGAGTGCGAGCGGTGTACCAGGAGGCGGATGCTCTCGTGGGCATCGATGGCCCAAGGGAGGAGGTTGCCACTATTTTGATGGATGCTCGAAAGAAACTCAAAGTGGTGTCGATTGTGGGCTTCGGTGGTCTTGGTAAAACTACACTTGCCAAGCAGGTGTATGACAAGATTGGTTCGCTGTTCGACTGCAAAGCATTCTTTTCAGTTTCGCAGAGGCCTGATATGACTGAGCTGCTCAACAATTTCCAGTTGAAACTAGGGATGAGGGATCCCGATACATCTCGCACTCGCAAGGTTGACGACATCATTGAAGAGCTAAGGCAACATCTGAAAGAGAAGAGGTATTGATATATCCATCCTGTCATAAATGCTAGGGTATTAGAAACATGTTGCTCCCATCTGCCTTTCCTGAGATGAGTTTTTTTAATTTTTGAAGAGAGGGTCTGGAATGCCTACATGACCTATATGTGCTAAACAAGTTTGAAGTTTTAATGATTTAGGATTTAACAACCACTACATACCTTTTTGTGTGAAAATAGTTAACCCGAAGATCGATTTATGAGGTCACATTTACATATACAGTATTGATTTTTGTCCATGTATGTGAGATTTGTGACTGTTTTTATCTTTTTGTTTTGCATATTTGTGATACACATGGACAATATACATAAACACTTTAGCAGAAATACAATCATTAGAAATCTCGATGTAAGCTTTGGTAATATTTTCTATACGGTGTAAAATTTGCTAGGCTATATTGGAAACCTTTCGGTACTCATCCATGCCTTTAATAAATAGAGTTCTTTTGAAAGAAAGGTTCTGGAATGCCTATGCCATCCTTATGTACTAAATGGTCATATGCTTTTGGTGTTATTTTTCCATTCATTATGATAACTCGTAGCTTCTTTGAGAAGTTCCTATATCATTTTTGTGTAAAGAGTATTTGCTCGGACCTATTTTTTCCCAAAATTTTGATGATTTCGTCCATAATTTAATTATGTTCAACTATAATGTAATTAACCTCTGGAAACATTTGAATAGGTACCTGATTGTTGTCGATGATGTGTGGGATCAACCAACATGGAATACCATTAAGTGTGCTTTTCCAGAAGATATTAATGGAAGTAGAGTAGTAGTTACAACACGAGTGAAAGATGTTGCAATTGCAGCCTGTCAGAATGATGCCGAGGGCATCTACAAAATGGAACCCCTAGGTGAGCAAAACTCAAGAATGCTATTGTTGAATAGAGTATTCGGGTCCAAACATGATTGTCCACCCCATCTGAAAGAAGTTATGGCTGAGATTTTGAAGAAGTGTCATGGATTGCCACTTGCAGTTATCTCAATAGCTAGCCTATTAGCCAATAAGGAAACATCAAGGAAGTGCTGGGAGAGCATAAGGGATTCTTTGGGTACCCAGCTTGCCGTAAATCCCACCTTGGAAGAGATGAAGAGTATATTAAACTTGAGCTACATGCATCTTCCTGCCCATCTGCGGGCATGCTTTTTGTACTTTGGTATGTATCCCGAGGACCGCGACATCCTTAGGGACGATCTGGTTCGGCAATGGATAGCTGAAGGCCTTGTTAGTAATTTGCATGGGCATGACCTAGAGGATGTTGGAAGGAGTTATTTCAATGAGCTTATCAATAGAAGTATGATTCAGCCTGGTAGGATAGACCGTGAAGAGGTGTTGTCATGCAGGGTACATGACATGATGCTTGATTTGATCTTAAGCAAGTGCGATGAAGATAACTTTATAAGTGTGGCATACAATTACAACGACATGGCAAGACTGCATGGCAATAAATACAAGGTTCGCCGGTTATCCGTGAGTTCTGTGGCTGGTCGTGGAGCAACATATGCCCCAACTATTGATATCTGCCTATCACAAGTTCGATCATTTACACTTTTCTGGACCCGCCTGCCTTCTCTTTTGTTGTTCAAGTATCTCCGGGTGTTGAGAATAGAAGAACACAGCCAAGGTCAGGAGACCACACTTGACCTCACTGCTATTGGCCAATTGTTTCTCTTGAGGTATTTGTATGTTACAGTGCGGTGTTCCGTACAACTCCCTGCTAAACTTCAAGGGCTTGTTTACTTGGAGACGTTGGACATACCTTCTGCAAAGCTCAAGAGCATCCCCTCAGATATAGCCCAATTGTCTTGCTTGTCCTATCTTGATATTAGGATGGAAAAATTCATGTCTGAATGTATTGGGAAAATGAAATCACTGCGCAGTTTGGTAATAAAGGGTGATGAGCTGACAAGGACGGAAGGGAATTTGGTGAAGGTTATTATGGGTCTCGGAGAGCTGACCAATCTAAGGAACCTGGAGATTGGAGTGCATGGTTGGGAAAAGCCAGAACGTGATGCTTTCGCCAGCTCCCTTGGAAAGCTCCGTAACCTCAAATGTCTCGAATTCACTAGTGGCTATACTCATGAAGATAACGAGCTGGCCTCATTATCCAATCCTTTCCCGCATCTCGAGGAATTTATCAGCGCCCCTAGATGGCTATTCCGTAGAGTTCCCGTATGGATGGGTGGTCTAAATTGCCTTCGCATCCTGGAGCTGCATGTGATTGAGGCGTCAACTCAGGATGTCAATCTTCTTGGAGAGCTTCCGTCCCTCGTCGTACTCTGGCTCATGACGTTATATGTCCCAAAAGAAAGCGTTAGATTGGGCACGGGACTGTTCCCGGTTCTGAAGAGCCTCACATTTTGTGCTATGGAAGGTGTTGGGGCTTACCTAGGGTTCAAGGCGGGGGCCATGCCCAACCTACGAGACCTCAAAATCTCCACATGGGGGGAACACGCTGTACCAGTTGGCCTGGAGCACCTGTTACGCCTTGACATGATCGATCTGGATGGGGCTCGCACCGGTGATGCCATAGTGTCTCCGTTCAGGGATGCTTTATCAGCGCACCCAAACCACCCTTCCGTTCGCCCTTCATTTTAGTTGATTTCTAGTGTCGAAATGCAGTTTGCATTTGTGGCTGCGTGGTCATTATGTTTTACCAGCAGTGAGCTGCTCAGCAGGCCTTTCAGTTACTGATGGGCATGCGGGATAATTTTGTACCATGTGTAATGTAATCTTATCAACCTCTGAATATTATTAATTTCGGCGTGGATCATGAGGGTCACACCGAACTGTACTTTGCCTATGATTTTTGTCCGGGAATGTTCATGATTTCATATATTGTGTGATGACTGGACTGTGCGTTACTGCATGATGACACTGTGTTGAGTTGACGGCGATTAGAACACATGATCTTGGCCTGTGACATAACTAGTTTGTTATAAATGTCAATCAGCTTGCATGATCATGAAGAACTAATGGTGGCAATAAAACTCCCATGCCATCTCGTTCGTGTTTGCTCGGCTATGCAACGAGCAGGTTAATTAATTAATTGTTTGCAAAGGTTGTTAAGAATTTTCTTCTGAGTTCAGTATTGCGATGTCTCCAGGAAGCGTGGAGAGAAGTTGGGAATGACCCAGAACTGGTCTGGCTCTTGTGCATGCTTGATCAAGTCATTCTCTTGTGCCGTCTTGTCGCCCTTGATCATGACATACTACATGAGGTGGTTTAATCCTCCTTTTCAAATCAAATAAATAAAAACATGAGGTTGCAGTTCGAGTCTGACCGCCACCTCCAACTGGAGCGACATCAACATCCACGCCGCCCGCCATTTCCATAGGTACAATTTGCTTCAAAAAAGAAAGAAGGGGAAATGAAGCTTATTCATGTCTACATTTCTTAACTTTTGCACAGCTCTGTAGATATATAGATGGGCTGCTGGTTTCTTTAGTACTGAGTAGTCTTCAACCGTTAATCTGTCTTTTTGCCTAATCCCTGTATTTATTGTATAATATGCCTGATGGTGTCAGCAGAATGTTCCAATGACTTGGAGCAGTTTTGTTTCTCTCTACATGTATCTGCTCTGGCCACAACTCTGTAACTGAATTTTCTGAATGTATATAACCAACAAAAGAAGCAACCGCCTGCCAAGGAGAAGGAGAGCTGAATCTTAAGAGGCTTACAAGGTTGCATCAGTCCAACAGAACAAAGAAGCTCCTGCTACTAAGCAAGCGGTCTTCAAATATTTTTCACAAAACTAGTGACCCTGGCCTGCGAGTCATCTCGACGAAATTTTGTTTTGTGCGGCATCATGCTTATATATATAACCCGCCAACGTGGTATTGTGCTAAGTTAGCAAGTTTGTACTGCATTGTACACCAGAGTTGGCATTGATTTGCTTTCCTGAACATAAGTTCAGAGTTTGGCGGTGGTTAATTAAGGTACTGAAAGGCCAAAGTCAATGAGATTCATGCCAGTCAGTTATCAAAACGCGGCTGCAATTATACATGGTAATAATTTGTGATGTAGTAGCAGATTGGTTGGGGTTAATTATGTACTATACGTGATAAACAACAACTGCAGATGTGTGATGGAAGTAATTTCAAGAACTGACTGAGACATGTTCAAATTGGTATCAGCCTGATGCTTTTTTCAATAAAGGGCGACTTTATTATCTCAAAATGTAGCATCAAGCGAATACAAAGCATTATGAGTAACACCCGGCCTCTACGTAACTAAGATGCACACAGCCAAATCCAGAAGTCTGACAAAAAATCATGAAATAAAAATCGACAAATCGGCAATAGTAGAGTCCTTTAGACCGACACTATGCCTATATCGAAGAAGGTGGTGGATCGATTCGTAGGTTATGCTGCCACCCATGCTGGGAAAAAACCTCCGTAGCCACCTGCTCCAATCGCGTACACACCACCATGAACAGCGGTTGGTGCTCCGGCCGTTGTAGCATAGACCACATACGTAGCAAGTGCGTACACCGGAAAATAACCTGTAGAGGAGAAACATTTTTATCATTAAAAACCAAATCATTTCTACATAGCCAAAGCGACCAAATTAAGGCATACGCTCCCACCCTTATTAGCGTTTTGAACCTATTTGTAATACCGTCCAACCAATGACCAAAAATATTGGCAACACTTGTGGGCGGATACAAATTTGACGTATTTGGATGACTGACCACGTAGAACGTGCAAACTTGCATTAAAAAAGAGGTGTTTGATTGTCTCGTAATGAGTACAAACAGAACACTTCTTACTCCCTCGCCAGTTTCGCCTTGCGAGGTTGTCTTTGGTTAACACAACTCCCCTACAAAGATACCACATGAAGATTTTCACTTTTAGTGGAATTTTAGACTTCCAACTTTTCTTATTATTACTCGTTGGTATCTCAGAATGTGTGAGTGCACAATACATAGAGTCTACTGTGAAAGACCATGATGTAGTGAGGTTCCAGCGAAACATCCCAACCTTGTGTCAGGTTAATCGAATCCAGCCGTGATAAAAGATTATGCCATGACACAAGCCGGGGGCCAATCAAATCCCTCCTGAACGAAATATTCGGCGGGGAAGAACCGACCACGTGCGCAATAGTATTATTCTTATCACGAGCGATGTTATATAAGGCTGGATATTGTTCTCTGAGACTGGCATTGCCTAGCCAGATGTCTTCCAAAAACGAACCTCCGACCCGTCCTTTATCGTGAAAGACCCAAAGCGCCATGGATGCAGCAAGCACTGTGCTGCTTCGCTCTTGTACCAACTGAGACTCGAATTACATTTACATGAATGAATGGTTAAGTCTGAGGTTCAGTAGCAGTTACGATATCTATCATGGGGGGTCATATCTCATATGTATGTTCACCAGCCAATGGAATTGGAATTTTACAGTCTCTGTCTGTGTACAGTTGATCTGCCACGCACGCCGTCGGATGTCGAGACAGAGTTAGACGGGTGTATAAGCAGCAGGCCGAGAGTGCGCGGCATCGTCCATGGCGCCTGGCGACGAGCTCCTCTGCCTTGTCCAGCCTGTCCGTGCAGCCGACCGTGGCCTGCCATGCGAACGGAGGCACGTTATTGGTCGACACCGGGCCCGGCCGGCGCCATGGATGCCATGCGATGCGACCCTGACCTGGCATTGGTCGTCCAAAACCATGGTGTCCTCGTCGACGGCGCCGGCTGACCCTGGTCGAACACCTTCATTGTTGCTGCTGAAGGCGTTCAGTCCATGCCAGGCACTGGAGCGACGGTCACCATCTCCATCTGCCGGAACAATGTACGCCGGCGCGTGGTGGTCCTAAATAGGCGCCGCCGGGTGGTCCTAACAACCGGAGAGCACTCCCGTCCCGGCCGGTATGTCCATGGCTCGCCTTCACGTATGTACGGTACTCTGACGATGGACCATGGATCAGTCGGCTGATCAAATGGAGCGGTTGTTCAAAAACAGCATCAACCTCGTGGATGATAGCGGCGAAATACTTTTGAAAGATGATTTCAAATGGGACTCTGACGATGAAAACTCTATTGGCACCAAAGACTTGCCTCGAGATTTGGACCATAAATCTCCTTATTTTGAGTGTCTTGGATTTCATCCTTACAAAGAGATCGTCTTGTTCCATTGGTCGGATAAATCAATGGCCTACCATTTAAATAGTTCTAAGGTTCAATACTTGGGCAAGATGCTAAACACAAGCACACATGTAGACATGCCTTTTGCATATGCCCCATGTTGGATGAGGGACCTACCTGGAAGTAACTAATGCTAATATATAGCATGAAGTTGATCTTTCTCCTTTTAGTATACATTATTTATAATGAGATTGCCTTTATCATAATTAGTTTACATGATGTTACTTCCTTATGAATTTTATATTGGTGTTCAAGTGATTTGTTGAGCAATCGTAGCGCCCAATTCGCCACCTCCCGCACTATCTGCTTTGTGACGAAACCATTGGATCAACCAATCAACCATGGATCTATGGTCCCCTCATGGGCACTACCATTGGATCAACCGCCTTGCGGTAGCTCGTTAGCTTGCACGAGCACCACCCGCGCTCCCACGAACGCACGACTTTGCTCAAAACACCGCATCCTTCTACTTCCAACATTGGCGGACTAGCTTGCAGCTGTGCTGGTCCATAGGACTAGCTTGATGACAGTCCTTGTAGCACCGATGGTCTCCCGTTTCAGGACCTTGTGCTCGGGCTCGCTACCTGAGCACTCGACGGCAAGCAAGAGCCACCCATGCAACAACATAAGCATAACTTATCGTGGCCTGGAAGGCCCGGTGGCAGCACCGACCACATCATCTTCTTCCCATACCAAAAATTGTCGGGAGGAAGACGGGGAATTGATAACAATACAACACACGCACAAGGGTAAAAAAGAGTGGGGCATTGAATTTCTGGTGAAAGCTAGTACTAATTAAGTTAATATTGCCACCCAAAAAAATTATTAGGGACCTCTAGTGGCTCATGGGGACTCGGCATTGCACGAGGTCCATCGACCAGGAGAAGGTCATCATGGGGGGCCTCTAGTGGCTCGGGGACCATGCTGTTGTTTGGCTTATGTTACAGGTAGTTCGCATCTGCCTGAAAGAGAATGCAAATAGCCTGGCTAGTTCTACCCAACGAAATACCCCCTCCATCCATAGGTCAAATGGTTTTTACTCCAACAGGCCCTAAGGATGAAAGGTTTCTCTAATAAATGACGCCAGTATATAACTAGAGGTAGTGTGGGCATCAGAGTCAATGGCGACTTAGGCCATTACTTTCAGACAAAAAAAGGACTACGGCAGGGTGACCCCATGACCCAATGTTATTTAACATTGTCGCTGACATGTTGATTATTCTGATTGAGCGCGCCAAGCAGGACAAGAAGATTGCAGGAGTAGTGCCCCACCTTATGGATGGTGGCCTCTCTATTCTGCAATACGCTGATGACACAATTCTCTTTATGGAACATGATCTAGATAAGGCTCGGAACTTGAAACTCTTGTTATCAGTGTTTGAGCAAATGTCGAGTCTTAAAATTAACTTTCATAAAACCAAACTTTTCTGCTTTGGACAAGCCATTGAAGCGGCGGCC